AAAAAAAAAAAAAAACAATTAGAAATCTAATATAGATATTTTGTTTTTATAATTAATTAAAGGAGATTACTTGTTAAGAACTATAGGCTTGAAACAGGTACAGGAAAGAGACTTATTCACTAAAGAGTTCTTATTAATCTTTTCTGCACTTATTCATTTTTTTCTGCTGTAGCGGTTCTATGCCTACTTTTTTGTGTTGTTGTGTGTGTGTGTATGCGTGAGCCGTCGCTATGATACACCATTGTATCAATAAACGATAAAAAGTCAATGTGTAAAAAAGCTACTATTATCTTGTATAAAAGAAAAAAGTTCAATTAGAAGAAATATATAATAAGTATAAATTGATAAAAAAGTAACAATAAAAATAGCCTTAAAACAATTCTTAGAATAACTTGTTTACATAGTCATATTTAAATTCGCATTGTATTTAATTTGGGCGTCATCTGTTGGTATCATGTGAAGACAATCCTTATTAATTTATTGATAATCTTTAATTGTGTTATCGATTGGTTAATAGCAATGTCTAAAAAGGCAAGATTCAATTATAATTCTGACGTAGTTACGTTATATTAAAAATCGAAAAGCTAATAAGTGCTGTTTTCTTGCTATATGCACGCATTTTTGTGCACGCACTATTTTCCTATACATCACTGTACGTTTGTATAAACTTACCACTACACAATTGGGTTATTTCACATTTACCATAAGAATTTTTAGTTTATTTCATTAAGAATTACAAAATGTTGACTGTGTCATGCTTAATTATTATTTATCTGAATTTTTTAATATTGTAATACAATTACAGGGAACAACCAAACTTGAAAATCATGGATATTCAAAGTCTCAAAAGCTCAGTAGCCGCAGAAAAACCGATGACGAACAGCTGGAACTTCCTCAGACATCTTCCAGTAGTAGAGTATCAGGAAACTCTTTTAAACAAAAGAAGCCTAGTTTACCTCAGAAAGAAGTTTCGATGAGTCGACAAGCATCAAACAGAACAGTTGCATCTAAATCTAATAATTCAAAATCTTTGTCTACGTCGAATACATTGGAAAAAAATGTAGCGAGCAATAAGACACGAGATAGTAGTATAAAAAAGAGTCATTTAGTTCATAATACAAATGCGAAGCCTACTAAAATGTATCAGAGTACATATTCTGAAAAAAGAGGTATTAGTACTATATATGTATCAAAATCAAATTCAATTGGTAACAGCTCGAAAGAAAAAAAGAGTACAGTAAAAGATGTTACAAAAAAGACAATATCAAATAATTCAGAGTCAGCGAATAAAAGTAATCTGCAATCTAAAATACGTAGAAGATCTAGAACTTTAAGCTCATCTGAAGTAAAAGTATTACACACAGTTATGCAAGAGGCATCTAAGAAAAAAGAAACTAACACAAATACAATACCTATACAAAAAAGTACCAATCAAAATGAACACGATGAAAATTATTATACGGATGATTTTGAGGTATACCAACAATCATTTATCATATGATGGCTTATGATATAGAAAATAATTTATTTGTATATTTCAGGAATATGAATCGGACTTTGAAGAATGTACGGATGATGAAATTTTAGAAACCAGTGAAAGTTCAAGTGAAAAGGAAACTAATTTATATCAAAGTCCCATTGAACTTTCTACTAAAGAACAAGTAATATTATTGATTCTTTTGTATATAATATAAATATATAAAACAATAATATTCATTTTATCTTCAATTGGACTTCATTTCAGCAAAAAGTGATACATAATACAAACAATCATAAGGCAGAAGAGGAAGATATGCATGATTCTGGTCACTATGAATTAGCTGAAGCAAAAAAAAGAGCAATGATAATAGAAACAATGATTACAAAGGGGCAGAATCTACCATTACCATTATCAGAACTCCAACAAACAATTAGCAAAGAGTACAGGTTGTTATATTTTTACACAACTTACTATTTATAATAAGAAAAAAAGATTCTAATATTTTATATCAACAATTGGTTTTCATTGCATATTTAATTTTTATTTCATTTGAATAGCGAGGATAAATTATCTGAAAACAAATCATTGCCATTGTCTATGGATGAGGGCTTCGAAGATACTAAGTCTGGTGATTTTACAAAATTACCATCTCTTTCACAAGTTGCATTGATTGATTTTTCAAAAATTAAAGATAATATTACTAAAAAGGTATTGTGTATATAAGATATGTATATAATTATATTTCATTATGGTAAACTAATATTAATTATAATAACAGCAGCTAATTACTACTGAGAAATTAACGAAATCCAGAAGCAGAGGAAAACAGCTACTAACTATGATAAAATTGAATACTTTATCATTTTCTTTGTTGGAATGTGCACCAGTACCATATGAGGAATTTATTAAAAGTTATGGAAAATTTCATACTCAACAGGTATATTAATGCAATTCGTGTGTCTTGCTAAGTCATTTCAGGAATACTATAAAGATAATTTAAAAATATAAATATTAATATTTTCTGCAGATGTATACACAAACAGGTGATGATAGATCAGAAGCTGAAACACAGACGATTGAAATATTAAATGTCAATAAATGGACACAATTTCCCATATGTTGTAGCAAGCGTAGAAATAATAAAGGAGATGTACATTTATTTGCTATGGTATGAACGATGATACATATTCATATGTAGATATAATTTTGAAATATTAACAGATTTGTCTTATAGGAACAAGCTGGAGTTGGTAGTGATGATAATTTTAATTCAGGAGAAATTATAGCAATGCCGTCTTTTGACATATTGCAATTAAATGATTTTGTACATCGTGCTGCCACCGTTATAATAACATTATTAGAAGAAAGAAAGTTTGGAGGAACTATTTTCCAAAATGATGTGCAAGAAATATCTGAAAGTGATGGTTTTGTCCAATTTGATATAGATTCAGTAACATTCCTTGCTGGTAGAGAAGTAACAATGATAAATTACTCTGAAAGCTGTAATAAAGTTTTACTGACTATTCATGCTCCTTACGAAGATGCAAGTAATAAAAGTTTATGTATATGTTACGTAGATGCACACATTTCTAATTGTCCTTTTTTATGATTGATTTATTAGGAAATAGAAACAGGACAAAATCAGAAAGATATTACGGACTATTGTATTGGATGTGTATGGAATATTTGTGAACCATCTCTACCAACAAAATTATTTTATTCTACATCTCCTATCACTGCATGTTGTTTTCATTCAACCAACTATAATATTGTATTTGCTGGACTAGATGATGGGTATTTTGCATTTCTTATATATATATTATTAGCTATAATTTAACTAAATATTTTACGTAAATTTTAATATTAGATCCATAAGTCTTTGGGATTTAAAAGAAAATGAAATATGGCATCACAAAGTTAGTAATAATAACAAAGATAATGATTGGACTATAAGAATACCAACATATACAACAACAGGAAATGCAGAAATTTCAACGCATGATTCAAAGATAGTTGCAATACGTACTTTATCTAAAACAGAAGAAATATATACACAAATAAGTAAAAACAAATTCATACCTACACAGGTAGTTAAATACATATTGATTCGTGATAATTTATCTAAATATGTAACTTTATTATAACTATTATTATTTATATCTCTCTATATTAATTTAACAGTTATGTAGCATAGATGAAAATGGCCATTTTATTATATGGAGTGTGTTCTACAATTTGGAATCAATTGTCAATGATTTAGGTCTGAGTCAATGGGGCAATATTAGGCTAATAAAAAGTCAAGACATGTTTATACAATTAAACAATAATGGTACAATTACTGACATGTATATAGACAATACAGATTCTAATGGCCTTTTTGTTGCAACCGATGCCAGTGAAATATTGCATAGTACATGCTTCAATTGCAAAGTAAATCCTTCAATGTATAAACGACAAAAAATAGGTAAATTTATTTTTGGATTGAGATTTTGAAAAATAATACACTGAAATAATGCAATTTAATATTTCAGCACCATGTGGAAATACTTCATCTATTGAAATATGTCCTTTTAAAGCATCTTATTTTTTGGTAGGACTTTTAATCATATGTAATATTATTTGGTTTGATATATATATTTGGAATTATTTATATTTCTTACATTATAGATTGGCTGTAATGACGGAACAATTCTTCTTTATTCATCGAATAGAGAAAAACCTGTTTTACAATTAAAACATGATAATTACACAAATAAAATAACAATATTGAAATGGTCAAGATCAAAACCATCGACAGTATATGTTCTAAATAATAAATCACAGTAAGTCTATCAAATAAGAAAAGAATATACCTTCTTCTTTATTATAGAATAATATTTCATTTATGATAACAACATTTTAGAATATATACATGCAATTTGCAAAATAATGAAATGCACTATATAAGTACTCCTTCTTTAAAAAAATGGGGAGAAATAAATTGTATGCAATTATGTTCTTGGACAACTGAACGCGATAAGATTACCCAATATCTGGTATGTGATACAGTTAATATCATTAAATTATGTGTGTGCCAGTAGTAATTGTTACTAAATATAAAAATACAAATATTTTTCAGGTACTTGGAACAAATATTGGTACTGTGCTAGTGTATAAATTAAAAAAAGAATCGTATTGTTCTGAAAAAGCTGAATTTGAACAAGAACTACATGCATTTATGAATTATATTACACTTTTATAGTAAATATGAGATAATAAGTAACTGCAAATAAGTCTACTAAAATATAATTCATTCGGGATATTTACGATCATCGTTCAACAGTCTCATATTAATTATCTATATAATAAGTATTTTTAAAAAAAGACAATCCAAACAAAGTCACTTATTACAAACAATTATTACTGTATTCTTTTGAATTTCATCATTACTTGATATATATTCTTAAAACAATTTTTAAATAGAGTTTGAGTGTATTGCATTCCATAGGAGATTTTATATAAATTGTAAATAAAACGAGAATAATATACACCTACTATATTATCAATTTTTTATATAGTTATATGCATATAGTATTAATATTTATGAAACAATTTCAGAGAGAATGAAAATAATTATGATAATTAATTCAAGGTAAAAATCATAATTAAAATTAATAATCCTAACAAATTAATTTTATCAAAACGTGAATTCAAATTTTGTGCGCTATTGCAAGTTGATTTAATCATTTCTTCTATAATGTCGTCGTAATTTGAAATTCGATGTATTTTGTTAACTTCAAGTTGTAAACGTTCCGATCCTTCCTGTACAGACAAACAAATTTCGGTGTAATTATTTTATATTGTATACTTCAATAATTTCAAATTCATTTTGTATACGATAACGTGACAATAACGTACTAACGAGTGTATACTACTATAACATTTGAAAAATTTGTTATATGTAATATTCTTAAATTTAATAACAGCAGAATGTGTGATTATTGTTCTTGGATAGAACAAATCTTAGCAAGAATAAATGTTGAATCAAAACTATTGCAAGAAAGGATACCACCACCGCGCGTTGATCCTACCGTTATAGTTCACGGAGGTGCAGGAAGAATACCGAAAATGAAACGAACATTTATGCTCGAAGAGGTAATACACTATTGTATATAATTCACACTTTTAATTTCCTAATATTATTCTTATTGAATTATGAATAATCAAAAATATGTTGTATGTACTTTTAGTATATCTCAAGTACGTTTTGTTAAGATATTAGAAATAAGATTGAAGAATTAATGTATTTATAAATGTAGGTAAAAAGTGCTGCTTTAGAGGCATATAAAACTCTCATAGAAGGATATACAGCTGTTGATGCAGTTGATACAGCAATTTCACGCATGGAGAACACATTGTATTTAAATTACATGGAGGAAGCATATACACATACTAACGACGAAATTATTATGGATGCAGCTATAATGACTAACAATCTTGATGCTGGTTGTGTAGGTGTTGTTTGCGGTATTGAACACCCTATCAAGTTAGGTAAGTCATAATTTACATAATTATTTCGTGATAATTACTGAGAAAAAAGAATTTGTATACAATATTCAGCAAGAGAAGTCTTAGAAAATACGAATCACGTGCTCGTTGTTGAAAGTGGTGCTCAGAAATTGGCAGGAAAAGCAAAACTTTCAAAGTTACCACAAAAATATTTCATGAGACAATCCGCGGCAATTGATAATTCAATCTTTTCCGCTGATGAAATGATTTCCGAAGAAGAACATTGTAATTCAAGTTGCAGTATCGATTCTATTGATAACTCTTCTATTAACAATGAAAAGGAAGTGAACAAATCGGATGATATTAAATGCAGAGAGAATGAAATATCGACAATTAAAATGTATTTTCCACAATGTCAATTTCTAGAAACAGAAGGAAATGAAGAATTAAGAAAATCAGATAGCATCGTATCGTTTCATGAGGTTTGTGATTAGCCAATATTATACAAGAAATTAATATACAATAGAAACTTTATTACGATAAAGGCTAGGACAGTGGGTGCAGTTGCTTACGATCGAAAGAAACGTTTGTCAAGTGGAATTTCAACAATGGGAGAACCCATGAAAGTGATAGGAAGTCTGAACGCGATTGGTACCGTCATTGGTTGTGGAATTTACGCGGATGAAAACGGTTGTTGTTCCATTTCTGGAAATAGTAAAACGATTTATTGCTATGCACCAGCTCGTAAGATTGTTAGAAGATTTAATTCAAAGACAACGATGATGCTAGAAATAAACGAGGAATTAGAAAAGTTTGAAAATGAGACAGGAGAATCTCAAATAGGTGTTATTGCGTTGAACAGAAAAGGCGAGCCTTCGGTTTCGTTTAAGTCCTTAGATTTTCCATGGGCTTGTTGTCGAAATGGCTACATTTATTATGGATGTAAAGAATGCGATAAATTTTGTGAAGAAATAACCAATTTAAGTCGTCCACTCGACTGTATGTGCGAAAAATCTATATAGCGAAATCTAACAAGTATCATTACTTACTGGAAAGATAACGTTTTGGACGCCGTCGTATGTGCCATACAAGGAGAAAGCTCTAGTATATCGGGTAGTACTTGTTCCAAATAGTTGATCCATATTGAGAAACATCGAATAAATTTCATCGCGTCTCAAATCGGTAATATTTTTATGCGCTACTATCTAAATAGGATTGTAAATTTGTTCAAAAATTAATAACAAACAAAAAAATAAAATGTTTAATATATTACACATTCATATAGTTGTATGTAATTGTGCAGCTGTTTTATTTAAAGTTGAATATCGAATAATATTTACCGCGGCCAGCGTAAATCGTGTTAACGAACACGTTTCTTCTATCTCCGTTTGTGTTTCTTCCCTACACAAAATTTTATACTTTTCATTTGCTAAATTTGTTATATTAAATTCTTTTTGTACATTTTGTAAATTTACGAAAACCACGTCGGCCCGACCTGATGTTAGGCAAGAAAACGTATTGATATCGTTCTCAACATTCGCATCTAGAAAATATTTTTATATTAGATAAATATATTAATATGTAGAGCAAAGAAAAACTCTTTTTTACCTCGTATACATAAGGAATACAAATTACGTGGAACATCTGTTTTCATAGTAGATAGTCCAGGTATACAGCTGTCTCCAAAGAAGTTTCCAACAGCTTTGATATTCGAACAGTCCCAACTATCTTTTGATATATTTTTCATAATAGTTACAAAAGCGTTCCAACCTGGAATCAATCATTTTAACAATTGATATTTTCGAATAGTCCAAATTCGTAAACGACCTTAGTAACTAAATTTCTGATTAATCGTAAATAATATTTCACCTATGCTTTCATATCCCGTAAAACAAGCTTTAGCTCCTTTTAAATCCTTCAAACTTTTGTATGGAGAATTCCTTTTAACGATTGCAACAATTCTATTAAGATCGTTCTTTTGATTGGACGTTACTTGCATAATAGGTTTCAGTTCTTTTCTGAAATATTTAATCTAAGCACTACGGGGATACTTTTTTCGTATAAAAAATGTACGTATTTCAATTTACTGTCATCTCACTTGCTGACTTGGAGACGTTCTTCGGGTCTGCTCACAAAGATGTCAGCTTCCTGATTCCTTACTGCTTCGAGACAAGAAATTCTATTTGATTCCTGAATACACGATATAGAAGGTTCGATACCGTATACAAAGGATGCATCTCTTAACCATCGACACTTCCGGTCTTCAATATTTGAGGAAATGCACCAACGAACGCGTCTCGAAGGTTTACAAGTTGCGCGATTGTAAGCACTCAAGAAACCAATACCTTCGATAGAGAAGAACAGATGATACATCGTTTACATTCAATCTGTAATTACACTGATATTTAAATGAATAATTTATTTTTATATATATATAGATATATATATATATATACATTACTTCGTTGCAAGTAATCATTAGGTGAATGCAAAGCCTCTGTTGAAACGAATGTTGAGTGAGGCGCTAACAGATCTTGAAGCGTATTTTTCCATACGTTATTCGAATTGATTGTTAAATTGATCATATTAACAGCCTTATTAGCCATTTTACTGCAATCAAATACATTTACTTTATAAAGTAGGAACGTTAAATCTAAAATTAAAGAAAAAAAGATACAAACTTACAGTGTACTAACGACGATAGGCCAAGGTTGTCCCAACCAAATACATGGATTATTATCTTTTGCTGGTCTTGTCATACCATCGGGACAAAGATACGAGTAATCGTCTTTGTTAGATTCGGTCATCTTTAACGTAACACAAATGTATTTATAATGTTAATCGTAATATTTAAAAAAGTGTATATGTGTATCAATTTGTATGACATCGTTTTACCTTGAAATATTCAATAACATCGTCTAATCTAACCCATGCAATGTCCCCAACGTTATCAGTTAAACATAATATAGCTCCTTCGCGTCCGTGATATTTATCATCGATAGAACAACTGGCAGGATTGTAACAAAGAGAACAAAGGTTTCTGTATTTTGATTCTAGATAAAATAATTAAATGTTAATTTTAAAAAACTCGTTAATCTAATACACGCGATAGATATCGAAATACTTACTTAGTTTTCTGTCTAATTCAGCATCAGCGATCCATGGACCAGCGATGCAAGCTGCTTCAAAATAATTAGACAACCGAGCTACTCTATTTTCTAACAATGTCTTTTCTGGATCGCATTCTTTAGGTATAATCCGATTCTCGAAATACTGCCAGATAATACATCATTTTAATTAAAAGCTCCGTGGGATTTCTATTATTCTTTTTGTTTTTTTTTGTTCTTCATTTTATTTTTGTTTTTATTTTTTATTTTCTTAAAAATCATTATCTTTTTCAAAAGATAATCTTTAACCGTTTGTTGGGATGTTATAAAAGTTAGAGAAAATAAAACGCTTATTCGATATAAAATTATCCAAGAATTTTTCTCGTACGTACAACATTTCTATCGATATTTTTAACATTGATATCGTATGTTCCTTCGTTTATTAATTGTAGAAATGTATGTAACCGCGTTTAAACAAATCTCATGGTCTTTGTGTATTCGGAATGTTAAAAGAGTTCCGTAGAAAAATAGTTAATAAAATAAAAAACAATTAACTCTAATATTACGATATATTTATAGAATCGAGAATAATATTTAAAGAACGATATAATACTGACCATCGAAAGGGCTTTAGTATAAGTATCAGTAGTTTCGAATCCAGGATGGCAAAATCTTTTCCCTTTGAAATCCCATTCGCTATCAATATTCTGTTGTACTAACGCTACCATTTCGAATTGTTGTTTATCTGAAGAAAAAAAAAAACAAAGTAGGAACAATTATTAAAATCGTATTGATCGAACGGTAATAAGCTCGGTACTAAATTACGTTTTTTCTTTTTTTTTAATTACCCTCGGGAAAGAGTCTTATTTCGTGAGTAGTTAAAAAATCAAACTTGTTCATAGACACTGCTAATAAATCTTCTGCTTGCAATAACGTTATATCGGCATCATGATTCGATAATTGTCGTAAACAATCAAACCTGTAGGATTTATATTATTTAAATATTTGATATATACATAATATCGTAATTTACTTTTCAATTACCTGTCTCTTGCTATGGAACATTCAAACGGAGCGATTTTCATGTTCGGACAAATTTTGTTAATCGTTTTGTTGGTATATATACTTTCGACTACGCATATTTTTACTGAAAAATGAATAAATCAATAAATCAATAGTTATGAATCGAATTGAAAGAGGATGTCCACGAACGATCGTATTATTACAAAACGATGTATTATCATTGTGTACGGTGTTCTACGATAATTATATATAATAACTTACATTTTTCAGCATAAGTTACACCGCATTCATTGAACAAATATATCACGGTGTAAAGTAAAAACCGATATGAAATAAATTTGACATTCATTATTATAGACTCACTTTAATTCTAATGGTACACCCTACACCCGAAATAACCAATTCTTTTTTTGGCTAACTTTCACTCGTCTCACGTCGAGCTGAACAGAAGCATTGGAAGGATGATGATCGAGAGCAACGGTTATTTACTCACTGATATTTCTGTGATGAGTAAGTATCCTTTGGAGAGAATAAATGGGAAAATACGTAGCGTACGATACGTCGGAGTCGGATCGTATTGCGCGATTTTCGTGGCGTGTATATCATTTTTAATTCGCGATGTCAGCTAATTTTCTTTTTTGGAAGCAACATTGTGTTAGCTCGTTTTATTGAGAAACGTTGTATTAAATTTTAAGGAACGTTTTTTTTAAAAAGAAACGAAATACGCCGCCTATGCAAAAATATATACGTCACGTCGTATATGAATGTAAATAATATATTCCGTCAATTTCTTTCTTCGAAGAAGATGAATCAAGGCCATTGAAGGAGGAAAGAATCTTTTATGACAATAAACATCTGATCTCTCGAATTATTTCTTAACGAATTAAAACGAGAATCACATATGTACCACGGTTCTGTGACTCTCGAAACTAATTCCGTACGCATGCACGCATACACGCTTGGGAACCGGAATTTATTATTATTAAGCATATGATATCAGAAAGAAAAGAGTGGGGTCAACTTCGTTAGCCAACTCTTCAAGATTTTCTTTGCCATGTATATCGTATCATAAAATGTTTACGATTGCGACACGTTCCTCCGTCTGGTATATATATATTCTGTTTATTTTTACGTATTATAATTTAATCGTATTATTGCTTTGTCATTTTTCTTGGAAACGTTGTTTAATTTAGTAAATTCGATACCATTTCTACCTTTAATTCCTATAAGAGGAAAACACATTAGAGTCGTTGGATGATTAAACTATGTGTACATTGAACGATGACGCTATCAACGATATGTATTATTTATAAACGTAATCGCATCATGCGACAGGCAAGATCTCAGAACTTCGTAGACTTAATCGTTCTAATGTATGTTTCATTTTAATGAAATTATTATAAAATAGGAGCGAAGATAATATACACCATTCGTAGGTTCGTTACGCCCAGAAATGTTTATTCTCTCGTAGATATGTTAATATCATTACGAGATAATTTGCGTAAAATATCATACCAATAAATGTTCAGTGATATCTCATGTTGATTATTTATTACTACGGTTTAGTGCTACGTTATACGTGAATTCTTATTCCGATTTAATATCATTTCATTTCAATCTTCTCATCGGCAAGTTACAAACAATCGTAATAAATTTGTCATTCATTTAGGATGATATTGGATTGACATATTTCTTTTTAAAGAATAACGATTATATAAACTTTGAGAAAAATATAAAACTGTGACAATCTACAAACACAATCTCCAAGGTAATAATTATTTTATTCTAAGAAAGATTGTATTGGGTGCGGACGCGCATTGTATGCATATCTTTGCAGGATGCAATTACCCACTCTAAATCTATAATAAAAATAATTAAATGTTATTAAAAAATATTATACAAATTTTGATTTGAAATCATGATTAGAGATTTACTTATTATTACATATTATTATACTTATAGATTTTTTTTTATATTTATTTATAACAGGATAGAACACACAAGAACTCTGTAGTACTTCGTATGGAATATATGTTTAAAATATAATCATTTAAAAATAAGCTTTCGCTTCTTACATTAGAAAGAGAAAGCGGTCGCTTTCATATTTTGTATAGCCATCTAGAAAAGAATAAATCTTCACTTGATAATAGAATCGATAAGAAGATCGATAAAAATAATTGCTGCACTGTGAATAAAAGAGATAATTATTCATTGAAGTCAATGCACGATTCTCTTTATTGCATAATAATTAATCGTCGAATTATGCAACATTTTCAATTACAAAATATTATTATAAACACCTATTGATATTTTTTATTAAACGTGGAGGCTGCAATCAGCGCTCCATAGTGTTGCATTATTGAACTAAAAACTTATCTCATTTTCAGATAGTTATAATATAGATAAAGAAACTGTACTTTAGATTTTATTTTTCAATTTCTTTTTTTTTCAAACGTATTTTAACGAATGTTCAGTAGTGATTTTTACAATCAAATTTTAAATACAATTAGTGAGAAATATTGGACGTTCAATAAATAAACGTAAACGACAAATCCAGTGCATTATAACCAAGAAAGTCACGAGAAAATGTATATATTTATTATAAATATATTTGAATAACCATAAGAGTGATAACTATCGTTTAGTGATACTATGAATATTTATATATATTCGTTTCTACTGTCCACGCACAAATTTATTTACCTATTTATTTATATCAGGTATATTATCTTCATTTCAAATATTCTTTATATCAACTAACGTCATTTTATCATATAACCATTTGAAAAATATTCGGATTTGTTTTAAATTAATATTATTTATAGAATTGTATTATTGCACAATTATAAATATAAAATACATCTCTCTTTAAATTTATGAATACACGTAGTTGATATAAAAATAGAAAAAGATCAATGAATTAATTAAAACAATGGATTCTACCAAATAGAAGCTGCAATATCGACGTAGTTTCAAGTATATTAATGTACGTCATAACTTTCAATTACATTAACGTAATAAAATTTAACAAAATATAAATTGATGTACAATAAAAATAATTTTAATTGTTATAATACAATTCATTGTCAAAATCGTAATATTAAATAAATAGTACAATTCATAAAGGTTACTTATTATTATTTCTGTAACATATCAAATTTACATTGTAACTATTAATATTTAATCGTATTATATTTATTTGAATAAATAAAGAGGACCTTTTCGGACCAGAGATTGAAAAAATGAAGATAAATTATGTTCAGTTTCCTGTCAAACTTCATTACTTCTTTTTTATGGCAGGTAAGTGAGAAATGTTCAATATTTATAAGAGACAATTCTTCATATTATTATCGATATTTAAATATTAGCGTGAATATCTCGGTTGATAAGTTATCATCAGATTTAATTAATCTTTTTCTTTTAGCTATGGGTCCCATACTCCCTTTTTTACCGGTATATGGTAAACAACTTGGAGTTTCTCCGATGGTGATGGGTAGTGTTACCGCGGTACTTCCAATATTATTTCTTATTGCTAAACCGCTCTTTGGATTTATAGTGGATCATTTTTATAAATGGAGAAAATCCATTTTTGTAACTTTATTAACGGTAACAAGTGGTTGTTACATATGTCTATATTTTGTACCCCCAATACCCACAAATTTAAAACAAACTTCATCAAATTACACTTTCAAAGATATATCATGTTCGTCGTTTTTTGACTGCAATATTTATGTAAGTAATTTATATATTTCTTTAATTTTAGCAATTAGTAATAAAACCTTTCATTTATCTTTTTCAAATCGTTTTTATTAGGATCCAGTAACATCGAATTGTATAAAAAAGCAAAATGTAACGTGCCGTTGGATATGCGACAATGAAAACAATTCATCTTTTTTACGAATGAATGAAGAAGAATCATTGAGCGCATTTTGTATGATCGATGAAACTAAAGTTTCTAATTGTTCAATAAATATTAATAATTGTATCACGTCGAACATAGTTTTGGAAGATACATATAATTTGTATATATCTATGACATTCTGGAGTTTTATACTTTTAATGTCGCTTGGTAATATAGGTTTCAACATTTCGAATTGTATTAGCGATGCAATTTGTTTCGATGTATTAGGTATGTATATTAAAATAATATCGAATGTTTATTTTTTATTATAATTATTTTATTTTATTTTATTTTATTCACATTTCCATGAATTATGAGATAAAAACGAATGAAAATAAATAAAAAAAAATAAAATATTATCATAAATTGATTATATATTATTGTTTATACACATCTATATATTTTTTAGGAGAAGGCGGTCAAATGGGATATGGCAGACAACGTGTATGGGGTACCATAGGTTTTGGTATTTCTGCCTTTTTAGCTGGTTATGCCGTAGATTTATGGTCTCAGGGAAATATTATTAAAACATATACGCCTGCTTTTATACTCATTTTTATTTTTACTTCTATTGACTTGCTGTGTTGCAAGAAATTGCAGGTGACACTACGTAGATATATTAATCAAACGCGTTAATTAATTCTTGAATAAAACAAATATCTTTTTTTTTCCAGTTACCTATTATGTCAGGATCTTCGACCATTATGAAAGACGTTTATAGCCTGTTGAAATTGAAGCCAATATTTATATTTTTATGCTTTGCTACTCTCAGCGGTATTTTTGATAGCTTCTTGATTTATTTTTTGTTTTGGTAATAAAAAATTAAAAAACAATTAGTTTTATTTTATAAGATAAATAATTACAAATAGATATTTGTTTAAATAGGTACTTAGAGGATCTTTCTAAAGCTACAGGGCATATGGATAAAATTAAATTAATAGAAGGACTGATAGTCGCGGCTGAAACGTTAGGCGGCGAAGTAATATTCTTTTCCTTATCTGGTATTAAATTATTTGTTATTTTTTTTACAAACAAATGGTAAAACCTAGTCTTACACATAAATCTAAAAAAAATAGATTTCAACCACGTGACTTATATCTTTTAGGTAAAATTTTGAAAAAAATTGGATATGGATACAGTTTTGCGTTTTGCTTACTGTGTTACTCTATAAGACTTACATTAATATCTTTGGCATCAACACCATGGTGGGTCGTACTTATCGAACTCTTTATGCAAGGTCCAACTTATGCTCTTTGTTATACAACTATAGTTGCATATGCAAGCGCGGTATCTCCACCAGGAACATCTGCTACAGTTCAAGGAATTGTTGCTGGAATGGACGATGGTTTAGGTATTATTTATTGGAACATACATATTTTTGATCTCTTACAAATTCAAAATTCAATTATATTAGAATTGGATTAACAGGTTACGCGATTGGTAGTTTAATCGGTGGAATTTTGTACAAAGAAGTGGGAGGTGTGCTTACTTTGCGAATTTTTGCTACAGTAGCCGTGTTCTCTTCGTTGATCTATGTAATTTTACATATTACTTATCTAAAACACACAACGCCAGGTAATAAAGATAAAATATTATTATAATTAAAACTTTGCACAAATAAGATATATAGTAAATATTTGTAAATAAGATATAATTAAAGTTGTTGTTGTTGTGTTTATTGTTTTCATTGTAGATACTCGACGAAACGTTGAATGGAAGTCACCGGAAGAGGCGAATATAGAATGTACTGTTGCCGAGAAATAATATCATAAACGAAATATAGACAAAGGTATATCAAGATATATTAATAATAATCGATTATTCTTCGCAATAAAATAAAGAATAGAAAAATGTATTATTTTAAAATATTTTTTTAAAGAAGATGACGCGTTTATCGATAATAAAATAGATTTACAATATTTACAAAGAAATTTATAATATATTATACTCATTATTATATTATTAATAATACAATAGACTACGACTAATATATACATCACATGTATGCAAAAAATAAATAAATAAGTTATAATTGGGCTAGTTTCATAATGTTCATCATAAAATAAATTCAAGTAATGGAAAAAAAAAACAAATAATATTTAAACCATTTAAATAACGTTTAATATTTTCCAAATGATCGTTTAAATGTCATAGTTCGAACATCTTAATAATCAGCGTGCATGTAAAGATATATTTATTAAGCACGTTCATACGTACCTATACGGCAAGACGAGTGGTCACGTGACAAAAATGACAAGTGTTTTGCGCTTGGACAGTTTACCGTCCGATGTTCTGATCTTAATTTTTAATTATTGCAATGCCTTCGATTTGGTTCGACTCAGTGAAGTTTGTATACGATTTTATTTACTTATACGCGAAGATACTCTGTGGAAGAGAAGAAGTAATCAAGCCCTCGTGACAAATCAAACCTCAGAACAATTTCGTAAAAGGTTGGTAGGTTAATCATACTAATTTCTTGTATTATTGTAATGAAGATTATAAAGTATTTACATAAATACATATTTGTATTATAGGTCCGATTATATTGTTTTCTATTTTATTTATTTATTTATTTTTCTTTTGTATATACAGATGCAATCCATTACTATGCCTACGTACAAAATGGCATGTCTCTAACAACTGGCAATACGGGCGGTTCAAGAAAAAATGTATTTTTTCACAAAAAGCAAAGCTGATGCCTTGGATACAATTAACTGCAGATACATTATGGTGGTCTGGAGGTGATAGACTTTGCGGTTTTAAAAGGGATGAACACCGTAGAGGAACCGTACTTGTTTTTAATGAAAAAGATATTGGAAGTGATATTTGCAAATTTGTTACCAAAGACGAGTATATTTTAACTGGACATAGGTCAAGATTTGTGGGATAAGTTTATTTAATTTTTATTAAGAGATATTGTTGTTATATTCGTTCTCTTGTGCATTACAGAAACGGTAGTTTGAAATTTTGGACTAAGGCAAAACGAGGTGACGACCATATTTGCTTCAGTATAGACAGAGCGCACTCAACTGATGTAAATGATGTAGATAAAATTGGTTCAATTTTTATATCGGGTTCTGGAGATGGAATAGTAAAAGTAAGCATTGAAAAACTATGTTTTTTGTAAAAGGAAAACTAAATTAGAAAGTCATACATATTCAGGTTTGGAAATTATCCAGTAAAAGATTCGCAGATCCACCTATGGCAAGTATAAACGTGAGAGATAGGATATGGTCTGTCAGAGCTGACCCAACAGGATTAAAATTTGCCGTAGGTTCGTCTGGAAATGGTGAAGGAACACCTTTAAACATATTTGATATGGAATGGTAAGCATAGTTTACATTTTCTATATTAACAATTTACAATAAGACACTTTAATGATATCGTCATTTTATTATTAATTTTAATAATATAATAACGGAGAAGTTCTATTATCTTTCGAAATATTTAATATTACATTTATACAAATTTTCATCTTCTGTACGAATAATAATTTAACTGTCTCATCAAATCATATTTTAGTTGCAGTATATCAAATGTATTAAAGCTCAATTGGAGACGAGGAGCAGGAATATTAGACATGGTTTGGGATAACGCAAATACTCTTCTTACATGTGGATATGATACTTATATCAGAAAATGGGATTTGAGGTAAATATTATATATATATATATTTTCCCTTTATATAGTATGATTAATTTCACTAATCCCTGTTATTCTATAGAAGTGGAATGTGCGTATCATCATGGGGTGATCCTACAAGTGCAACATTGTACTGTATTTCTTCAGATTACAATTATACTTTAGTTTCTGGAACACAGTTTAATTGTAAAGCTGTGTTGTGGGATCAAAGACAGAAGCAGTTTGTACAGGTAATTTCTTACCTAACTTAACAATATTTTTACACATATCAAATAATATTTAACTTTATGTTGTTGTTTCGTTTTAGATTTACTTCCTGAATTGGCGCAGGTCAAGTCCTATTTATAGTATTGCTTTTGACAGTTGCCATCTTTACGGTGCCACAGATCAACACTTGACCGAACTCACATTCTCAGGATATGCTTATAACGAAATGAATTATAAAGAAATGTTAACATATGAATTTGTTCATTTAACTTCATGACCATAGTGAAACAAACTATGAAAAATGTTTAATTATTTGTACAATGCTTATGTTATATATATAGCATATGCTCGATTCGAAAAAAAGAACAATTTATAATTGTCAACATGACCAATAAAAAATTTTAAGTAAACGTATGTTTAAATAACATCGATATTTCGCATGTATATACGAATGCGCCACCATGGGTACATAGAACTACTTAATTTCCAAGATACGTTTTCCAACTTTATGACTTCTCTTAACATTGTTATAATATCTTAAAATATAAACAGTTTTATAACCATACCACCTTTAACAATAATATACATCAACAATCATTAAGCATGAATTAAGTATCTCCTTAAGTAACATTTGTTCATTTAAATTATATTAATTTAACGCGATTGAAAAACTTATCAGAGCATTTTTCTAATCATATAATTAAGAATACCTCCATGCCGATAATAAGTTAAATCAACTTCTGTATCAAAACGTACAATTACGTCAAACCTTTTGCCTTGATCAGTTGTAACTGTAACATTTTGACCAGGCTGATAATCATCAGGGAGAATAATATTAAATTTTTCATAACCTGTTAATCCCAAGGATTCAGCATTTTGTCCTGGAAGATATTGTAATGGTATAATGCCCATCCCTACAAGATTGGACCTATTAAAATCAAAGAATTCATTAGTTGTACATCAATATATATAATAGTTTTTAATTCAATAGACTAAAGATGTTTTATTTAATAATTACCTATGAATTCTTTCGTAAGATTCAGCTATTATTGCTCGTATTCCAAGAAGGTATGGACCCTTTGCCGCCCAATCTCTGGAAGATCCAGATCCATATTCCTTACCAACTAAGCATATTAGAGAAATATTATCTTTTTTGTATTTCTCTGCAGCATCAAATATATCCATCTGAAAAATATATAAATTTAATATATTATCAAAGCTTTATAATAAATAGGATAAATCCATAAATAATTATGAGAGACGAGAAAAACCTCTTCGTTAGTTGGAATATAAATTGTTCGTGGCCCAGGTTTACCAATAAATTTATTAAGTAAACGTATATTTGCAAAAGTTCCCCGCACCATAACAGCGTCGTTCCCTCTCCGCGAACCATAAGAATTAAATTCTTTTGGTGTCAATCTAAACGTATGATGATAAATATTATTAGAGAAACAATTCGTTTTATAAATATTCACTAAAACGAAGAATAATGATCAAAACTTACCCACGACTCGCAAGATATCTTGCTGCTGGAGAATTACGTGCAATACTACCAGCAGGGCTAATATGATCGGTTGTTACAGAATCACCGAGATTCAAAAGTACACGTGCGTTAGTAATAGATTGTATTTTAGGAATTTCCTGAATCACATAAAAAGAAATATATCGTATATAATATCGAATGGAATCGATCGATTTTCGTTAATTCCCATAAAAAGCCAAAGAAGCGAATAATTTTCACGCGTATATATGACCCACCTTCTGGAGATGATCAAAATATGGTGGATTTTGTATATATGTGGAATTTAAATCCCAAGGATATAATTTACCATTGGGAGCTAACAAATTTGCCCAACTGCTGCTACCTTTTTCTATTTTATCATATACTTCTTTAAACATAGCCGGTATAACATATTTTTGTTCTACGCTTTGGATTTCTGATCTCGTAGGCCATATATCTTGAAGAAATATCGGTGATCCATCCTTCCTGTATCCTATTAAACATGAGAGAAAACAAATTTTGTATTATTACGATTACGAGAAAGTAATCTCTCATTAATGTTATTATAAATCGCATACCCAAAGATTCGTTTTCAAAATCTATATCCACAGTACCAGCAATAGCATATGCAATAACTAGAAGCGGCGATGCCAAGTAATTTGCTCGCGTATTTGGATGAATTCTACCTTCAAAATTTCGATTTCCGGATAATACACCACAGCATACTAGTTCGTTCTAAAACAAAAAAATAATTAAAGTATGTTTTAGTAATTTGTAACAATAAGTACACTACTTTATATCTAAAAATACGTTAATTAAAAATATAGATCTGTCGACCGTCTCGCGAGATACTCTTATCTTTACTAAACCATTATTTTACTCTTACTTTTAATGTTATTATGTTTTTCGTACGATTATTTTTGTTATTTATTTTCTTTTAACTCTCCTTGCCGCTGTTTTTTTTTCCTTATATTTTTAACAATTTTAATTTATTGCACGTAAATGTGTTTTCATTCATTTACTTATTTAATAATTCTTTTATTATGGATGCCGTAACGAAAGGGTTAAATCAAGCTATTAGTCGTACGTTTTTTTTTTCAGTTTTTCGTCGACATAGATTTAAATACTTTGATCTATTAAATTGATATACCTTATCGATAGTATTTACTATCACGTCTGGAAGAGGACCACTGTTTCCGATACAAGTCATACATCCGTAACCAACGACATCAAAGCCTAATTTTTCTAAATACGGAATGACGCCGCTTTCCTGAAGATAATACGTAACTACACCAGATCCAGGTGATAGAGATGTTTTTATATACGGCGCAACCGATAATCCAGCTTCAACGGCTTTTCTAGCCAAAAGACCTGGAATATCGTCATATGATATATATGTTAAATTCTTAAAAATTAAAAGAAAGAGAGGGAAAAAAAGATAAAATATAGTGAGAGATGTAATTTATTTTTTACCTGCTCCTAACATGACACTGGGATTACTAGTATTTGTACAACTGGTAATCGCTGCAATAACTACCGAACCGTGCCGTAATTTATAATCTTTTCCTTTATACTCGAACATTCCAACATTGTCCAGTTTCGCCGGACTTAAACCATATCCTTTAAATCCTACCTGAAAAAATAGAATTATTGTTCTTTTTGTTTATTTTTACTAATAATTACCAATTTCTTGCAAATATAATTTTATTGTTGTAAAGCATATAAATTCGATTTTTCTATAGCACGAAATGAAATAATATTGTCGAAAGTTTCATTATAGAAGAATAGAAAATTTTCAACGTTTTTATGATTTCTAAAATACGATATCAATGTATGATAAATTTTTAATAACTATTTTATTACAAACGACATTAAGAAAATTGATTAAAAAGTCGTTATAATATGATCACGGATTAGAAAATATAACGTCTGTAAGGTTCAAGTTATTTCCTGACGTAATAAAACGTATAAAATTGTCGATAGATATTGGAAAATCTCAACAGAAATGTAGAATAGATGTCTAAGAAATAACACTTTCCCTTTACCTTTCCCCTTTACCCCCAAGAGAATCTATAAATTGTTTCCTAAGAAGAGACCTTTTTGAGAACCTAAAAAAACCTTTTTTCGTTTCAACATTTTTCAAGAATTCCAAGGCTATTCACGACAATATTTCGGTCAGTTTAATACAGTCACATCTATTCTTTCGATTTGACCCAAGTAAATTCCAAAAAAAAACGGTCGAAATGCATCTTAAAGGAGAAGAAGACTCATCCATAGAGAGAAGAAGCAATAACTTTTACAAATAAAATCTACGAAATCTTAAATTGTTAAATATTAATAACGAAAAAATGTTGTATGTAAAATTATTTTTAAAAATGAAAAATTTCTAAACACGCGCTATAGACAACAGATTTAAATTTTATAATTTCTACAAGACTCGTTTTCCAATGAAAGATTCGTTTAAGGGGGTAAAAAAAAGATAATAGAAATGATCTGATCGATGTTTATTGAAATCTATTCGTACACGCACGATACGTGAAGAATGAATACGATAAGTCGTTCGAAACGAAAAATGTAAACTATGCAAAATGGAACAAAAAAATGTTTACATCAGCGATTTCTATGTGGTCGAGGAAACGATTTTAAAACTCAACGATTAACGTGCTAAATGTCTTTAAATGAATTTTACAACAAATTCGATTATGATTAATATTTGTTCAAATAATTTTGTTCGGTTAAGTTAGGTGAATTTTTTTTTAGAAAGTTTGAAGATATTTGGGGCCTGCCCCAAACAAATATTTCTTAGGACTTAAGGAGTGGTAGAAGAATTTAGGGGAAGAAGTTAGGGGAGGAAGCTAGGGAAAGAAGTGGGAAGAGAAAGTTGGGGGAAGAAGCTGAGCCGTAAGTTATAAATTTCGTAGTTGCAAACTAAGCCATCAGTATACGGACAACCTCACTACCTGTAATATAGGCAAGTACCTAATTTTATAACTATACGTTTAACATTTATCATCTCTTACATCTAACTTATAATATCTTTCCTTAATATTTCGACTTTTATAAAATCGGTGAATTTATTTAATAAGAGAGAGAGAAATACAATTATTTAATAAGATTATTTGAAAAATTCGATAAGCTTTTGAACTAGATTTAAGGAAGAAATTTCGTTGCAAATGTTGTTCTACAACAAGAATTATTTTGAATGCGAGACCAAGAAGATTTGAACAAAACTAAAACATAAGAGATATTACTGTTAGATAAATTTCATTTCGATGTGATTGATTTAAAATATCTCACCGGAAGAATTTGTCTGACATTTATCTCTATTGCAAAACGACGATCATCAAAATATTCTATAAGATACAAATTAATTGGCTTGTAGTGGAAGACGAGTAGAAGTTATAGTCACAAGTTACTATTAATCTGTGACTAGACTTCTACTCTCGATCGACTGCAAGCAATAACGTTAAGAGTGATTATATTGTACAGATTACCATAAATACCGAATTGAAGAGAAGCAAGTTCCACGGTTCGTTAATTTAACATTATTTGATCTTCGGGTGCTATTTCTGTGATATGTTTTTATATGATATCATATCACAGCGTTAGTTTACCTAGATCAAGTTATAGTTCAAAATCAAGATATATTAAATGAAATACGAAGGACGCAAAATCGGTAAACTCCGTACAGAAGAAAAGTAGGAAATTCTAAAATTCGTTAATTTCAAATGACTTGATCCGAGAAAAGTATTGTTGTGATAAGTTTATTATATATAATTATCACAACCTTATTTTTCTATGATCTTTTCATATAATCGTCCATAGGAATATTCAGTACTTTAAATACGAATAATCTATAAGAAATGAAATTTTCTATCATCTGGAAATTATGTAAATGTTTATCAATTATATTCATGTATGATATAAAACAAATATAATCCTGTTAGGCGATATTAATTAACCGTCACTGGACGATATTTGTTCTTTATCATAATGATTTTATCATCATATAATATTCTCTACTGAGAGAACATCTACGTGATATAATTATACTCATTGTTAAATGTATTTGCCGAATGTCCACCTTGGACAAATTATACAGGAAGTTTGAAATAAAAGAAAAAAAAAAGAAAAAAATAAAAACATTATTTATATTTTATAAAAATGAATCCTCATTGTTTAATCTTACCTTATTGGAAAGACATTTTTTAAAATCTTCCTTCATGTCAGATACAGAAACTCGATCGTGAGGTCTTTTTGGGCCGCTAACGCTGGAAACTACGGTATTCAAGTCCAAACTAATAACTTCAGAGTATATAGGATCTTGCTGCTCGTCTTCGTAATTTCTTAACATATGTAAAGCGCTCAGATATTTCTCAATTTTCGCAATATGTTCTTCTGATCGATCTACAAATAAAAAAATTATAAATAATTGTTTTTCTTTCTTAACGGTATAAGATTTTAACGGAAAAATATAAAAAGATATCTTATTAGTTATTTCAACATCTTACTAGTTTGTCTGAGATATGCTAAGCTCTGTTTATCCACGGCAAAAAATCCAACGGTAGCTCCGTACTCGGGACACATATTTGAAATCGTCGCACGATCCGCTATACTTAATTGAGATACACCGGAACCAAAGAATTCAACAAACTTTCCAACAACTCCTACTTGGCGAAGATTCTGTAAATAAATATAACAATTTTATAAATAAACAAATTGTCTAAAAAAACTATTAATGCATTAAAATTATATACGAACCTTAGTAATAGTAAGTACCAAATCTGTTGATGTTGCGTATTGATTTAAAACGCCTTCTAACTTGTAACCAACAACTTTAGGTATTAACATAGACATTGCTTGACCTAACATAACAGCTTCTGCTTCTATTCCTCCAACACCCCACCCAAGAACACCAAGACCATTAATCATAGTCGTGTGTGAATCTGTTCCAACCACACTATCATGGTAAAGAAGATCATTATTATCAAACACCACCCTGGCTAAATATTCTAAATTCACTTGATGCACGATACCGCTTCCTGGTGGTACTATTAACATATTTTCAAATGCTTTAGCTCCCCATTTTAGGAACATAAAGCGTTCCTTGTTCCTCTCGAATTCAATCTCTTCATTTTGTTTTAATGCGTCCGAGCTACAGACAAATATTGAAATATTTTATTTATACGAAATAATTATCGTTAAAATTGATAATAATTATTGACAAGTAATTACCTTCTAATAAAATCAACTTGTATGGAGTGATCAATCACGAGATCTGAAGGACAAATGGGATTTATTTTATCAGGATTACCGCCCAATTTTTTCACGGCATCTCTCATAGCAGCGAAATCTACGACTGCTGGAACTCCAGTAAAATCCTATTTAATGTTTAGTACAAATAATTAATAGGACTAATTTTAATTTCTAATATACTCGTTAATGAATTTCAATACGTACTTGTAAAATGACTCTAGACGGTTTGAATGCTATTTCAACTCCTTCAGGAATCGTTTGATTGATCTCCCAATCGATGAGTTTTTCTACATCGCTAGTTTTCACTTGAAATCCATCGCAATTTCTGACAGTGCTTTCTAATAAAACTCTTATCGAGAATGGTAGTCTGTCTAATGGAGAAAAAAAAAAAAAAAAAAAAAAAAAAAAAAAAAAATTAATAGAACGAATGTTGTTAACTAATTGTAAAATAATATTATAAATACCATATTTTTCTCCAAATTGAGTGACATCATAATAACGATATTGTTTTGAACCATATTCTAAAGTTTTCAGTAAGTGCTTATAAGAATTGTCACCTGGAAAAAAAATTATATTTCAATTATTGTTTTTTATTATTATAATTATATAAAAATACATATATAAAATAAATAATAATTAATAATAAATTATAATATTATTATATATTCCTTCCAATTTTTTTTCTTTCTAATATAATACTAAAATAAAATTCGAAATATATTCAATTATGGTAACCAAAACGCAATTCATATATGTACAAAAAATTGTTATTAATTTATAATATGCAAATTTATTATAAAATATTACAGAAAAAACGTTTTGCATTAATAAAACGATTATTAATTTTAAATAAAATAGAAACAAGAGTGCATAACGCGCGCTCCTAATTTCATTCAAAAGAAATATCTTAAATGTACAATTAAAATGATTAATTCTTTTATGACAGCTAACTCGAGTGTTTTTTTAAATAAAATGAATGAATAATTGTTAAGAAATAAACAAAAGAAAATATAAAAAACAATAAAAAATAAGATTAATAAACGAAGGTAAAATTTTTCAACTTACCGGCCATGATCGTTGTTGCTTCAGTCACGTCGTCTACACAACGTAATCGTGATTTTCTGACAGAATAAAAAAAATTAATTGTCAGTAGTATTGCATACACTGCGAAATGCAACCATTGATTACACGTTCTCCATCTGGAGGGAAAATAACAAAATAAATGCAGTTAAAACCCAGATCTTACTAAATATATTAGATATTTTTGTAGATTATATACTGTTTACTAAATATAAGATATAAAATTACTTTGAAATGACTTTATTACATTAATTTATATCAAATATATATTTATATATTAATATTTTTGTTTACTTTTTAAATAATCAATGTATATAGATAAGAATTAAAACCAATGAGTGATAAGATATATGAGATACTGATTTTGTATACTATATATATTAACTTTAGTTCTTTGTAGTTTTGTACAGTTTTCTGAAATGAAATAAATCCCCTATTTCTTGATATGAGATAATGATCTTTAAAGTTCTTCGTAACTTTATCAGATTACAGTTTTAATATCCTTTTGCTTTGGTGTTTTTGTGTATACCAAGGTAGAATATATTTTAATTATTCAAGTTTGTTTATAAACTGTAAGTTATAGTATAATATTTTAATATTAAACCATTTGTAAGTAAAGGATTACATTATGGAAAACCACATCCGGCCACCTCAACCTTTAAGCAATAATTCGCCTAGAACATGGATCATTTGGAAAGAAGAATTTCTTATTTTCATGAGATTGCTTGGTCATATGGCACGATCAGAATACTACAAAGCTAATCTTTTTAAAAATTTAGTAGGATCGGTAGGTATAGAAATAATAAATAAATTGTCATTTGATTGTCCCGAAGACAGAGACAATTTGGAAATACTATTGAAAAAAATTGATGACTATCATAATCCTCCACAAAAAGAAACAGAAAAACGATATCAATTTTTTAACAGTTCTATGAATCCCAATGAAACGATAGAAAATTATATACAACGTTTAAAGGTATGCTTTATTTGTATTCAATTTTTTTGTTTTCATTTGTCATTATACTACTAATCTCGATGACTATTCATAGAATTAATATTAACTCCACTTTGGTGATTCTTTTTTTTTTTTAGGAAAAAGCGAAAAATTGTAAATTTGATAATTTGACAGATAGTTTAGTAATAGATGTTATTATTCTTCATGCTGATAAAGCATTACGTAAAAAATATCTACAGGAAGATGATCTTAATTGTGACAAAATTATAGAAATTTACAAAAATCATAAAATTTCAACTTTGGAAAGTAATTCTGCAAATGCCAATGTTTCATCCAAACAAAAATCTAAATCAAATGTAAAACCAAAAGAAAAAGAGAATCCTAATCCTCAACAAAAGAACATTTCTTGTGCGAGATGTAAAAAAACGCATGAATATAGGCAATGTCCAGCTTGGAATAATAAGTGTAAAACTTGTGGCGAGATGCATCATTTTGAAGGGTGTTGCAAAAATTTCTCAAATCAAAATAAATCTTTGAATAAAAGTATGGTAAGTTGGTTTTTTTTTTAAAAATAACAAAAATATAATAGTAAAAATTATATTTGTGTTATAAATTTTTATACTTTTATGTAATATTTTGTTTGGTATTATATATATTTTTTCCTTCGTTTGTTTTTTTTTCATTGTAGAATAATCTGACAATGAGTAAAAATAAGGGACAATCGGTAAATGAAACTAAAGTATTGAACAATTTTTCAAAGCAGTTGTAAAAGGCAATATTTCAATATGCAGTAATTTTGATAAAACAGATTATATGCAAAAATATATAATATAATGTTTATATAATTGATAAATGTATTTTTAAGATAGTATTTGTGTTTAAATATTGTAAGCACTTTATGTTAATATATTTTGGATTGGAATGAAAAGTAAATACGTGATAAAGAAAGGAATATAGGTCGCATAATAAACGTTTTTTTACAATTAATATAGAATAATTATTGATATATTATGCATTGTAGCAAACATTAAACATCAAATATAATATATAAAGTAACTTTAATATTGGTCCCTAAATAAAAGTCCTCTTTAATAAAGAGCACTGTTAAAAATCAAATGGCACTATCTACATTTGTATTAATATGTTAAAACACAGTAAATGAGGTTTCTGTAACAACTTGAATGAAATAAACATTTTTTCATTTGTATAACTATTTGCCTTACATCATTTTTCATTTCTTATGTATTATATCTTGTCTTTTATATCTTAAAATTTGTATAGGATAATTAAATGACATAACAATTTCTATTTATTTGATATAATCTATAAATTTAAATAAATAAAGCAATAATTGTCTTTGGTATGAAACCTAATGAATGAGTGTAGAAACGTTTAACTTATATATGAACTCATAAATGCTAAAAAAAAAAAAGAAAAATATAAAATAAAATAGCTTAAATAAAAGATAATATATAATAAGCATATGGCATTGTGGTATAACATATTTATGTGATATGTACTATTCTTGAATGTTTCATGCTTTTTATGCTATTTTCTCTATTTTGTTTGATTTGCAAAAAAATTTATTTTTATTATTTTCCTTTTTCACGAACGTATCAGCAAATGTTTAAATGTTAATTGGCACTAAATTCTTAAGGAAGATTCATGTTCATGAATTTACGAAGGACGGTTCCTATCAAATTACAACGATGATAATATTATTTTAAATTAGAGCTAGAAACTTTTTTGTATGTTTAAAATTATTAGTGTTTCACTAAACAATATGTTATATAAATTGTACAAGTACAAAATATACAAAATATTTCTTTATCTTATCACATCAAAATTTCTGAATATTATATAACATTTATAACATTGTTAATGTATTAATTTAAAGCTATTCAAAATAACAAATCTCCTGACGTGTATATTTAACTTTCGGTTTATTTTGTAAAGTTATTATGTTAAGTGTAAAAATTTATAGAAAAAAATGTACACATGTTTTTACCAAACATTATCAAATATTATCTCAAAAAACTATTTAAAAAATCTATATAAAAAATTTATTCTTGTGTATAAAGCTGAAATATAATATTATAGATTATTCATTTCGAATATTTGTCATGTATTAAATATCTTATTGCGCGTACAAAAAATCTTATGACTATTCTCTCAATATCATAGAGGTAATAGTCTATTTCGTTCCTAATAATATTTCACCAGTTTTCTTTATATCGTTTTAGATTCATCTAGATCATTTCTATATTATAGTAATAAATGAAATACTAAATGTTTGTGACACTACGTGATTAATTTTATAATATTTAAAAAATCAACTTACTCTTTTAGTATGAAAACTAATTATTTGCATTTTGCGATAAGCTTCGTATCATCAATATCTACTAGGGAGATAATGCAATATTATTCTGTATATACTGTATCCAACCAGTAGCATGCAGATAAGATTTAAAGAAAAAGAAAAAGATAAATATGTCATGCTGGAGAATTATCTTGAACTAAGTTGTCTACAATCCCACTTGATGAAAGTACAGAATTCTTGAATCCATGAGGAGGTCTTTTTGGTTTTGGTGGTGGAGTTGGTGGTTTAGTTTGATTCTCAACATCGTCGTCATCGGTAGGCGTTGGAAGTTTACTCTTTATCCGTTGTCCAAACGGTTTGTTTATATTACTAGAATTTTCCGTTATAGACGAAATACGTTGATCATTATTAAATTCTTCTGGCAAATTGCAATAATCAGCCTCCCGAGTTTTCATTGGGAGAGGTGGAGGTGCATCGTCTTCTGAAGCAGTGCTATCGGTCGTTCCAACGCTATCTCTATTATTTTCTCTTCCAAACATATTTGTCTCTGAACCATTGTGCGTATTTCTTAAATAATGTTGCGATTGTCCAGACCAACGATTACTTATTCTTCGTTCTTTTTCCACCTCTGACCTCAGCGGTCGTTTTGAAGTTAGCTATTATATATATATATATATATTATAATCTTAATAAAAATAGATAACATAAGAGAATATATGTATATTATTATTTTTGTGTTTCTGCAATATGTAAATCTATAAAATTTTCTATATACTGTGCCAATGAATTCAAATAAAATCAAATAAATAGAAAATATCTTTAAATGTAACAATCATTACATTGTATGCATATAAACCCTTCGCATATTGTAAAGGAAATAAATAGAAATTTTATCTTTTACCTCTTGACGAAGTTCGAATATCGGTGTACTAGGAAAAGATGGTACTAATGATGTAGTTGATACAGCCATGCTAATCTGGGAAATTTCAGCAGGTATAGTATACCATTGACTCGTAGGTTGATCATTTTTTGTTACTGCTGATGAATCGCTTTTACGTGCGCTTCTTCTTTTAGATTCCTTCTTTTTGTTTGTACCAGGACTTGGATTTCCTAACGCCTTTTGCAATGAAGCTGATGATAAAATATGTGAACGTATTGAGCTAGTCCTGTAAAATGATAATGTATAATTATATATACAAATATATAATAATCATATACTTTATCTAATTGTAAGCAATTTTATAAAACTTACTCTACACTATTTATACTAGCTTCAGATAAAGAATAACTTTCATTTCTGAATGTTTGTGCTCTTCGCATAGTCACTCCCAGCGTCATAGTTTCAATTTGAAGGTCACACGTCTGTTAAATAATTGATTCAATTAATATAATCTTATGTTATTACTTTAGATGTTAATAATTATATCCTTAAATTAAAAACTTACTCTTTTGCCATATTTAGCTTCTACTTGACTTTTCATAGACATAAAACACTGTTCCAATCTTTGATGAAATGGCGCTAATTCAGGAGGCGCACGAGTCTTATGTATCTGTACACCAACACCTAAAAGTGGAATTTGTTCTGCTATCAAACTTTCCAACTTGAGTAAATCCGAACTTTCTTCTGAGTGGGACTCTTTATAGTCAATATTAAGAAAAGCTTTTTCATAATTATCAATGCCACCCATCACTGCTGGATCCAATACTCCATTTAACTTCATGCTTAAAGGATTTAACGGAAGACTAGGATCGGTTCTGTATCAAAGATATTCAAATATTATTAATATTAATATATTTCATTCATTTATGTGTATATATAATGAAATAACTCATACCTATGTGCAACTATGAGATCTCTAAGTGCTGTATTTGTAGCTTCCATAGTTTCTATTGCATTACGAAGCGGGCTTACTAAATAAGTATCGTGAGATATAACAGGAAACCATCTAAGGATTCCTGGCAATGGATGGCTTGTAACAAGAACAGTTCTTTCCAACCATAATGAAGCAAACTCATTATTATTAACACTTGTTCCATCTTTCTCCTTATCACCGACATTAGGTCTTGGTCTCGAAAATCGAAAACGCTGGACATCATTTACTCGATGATACCTAATCGATAAGGTTGTTTTCATTTAAGGACAACACAATTTTTTTATATAATTTGGTTTAATCTTTACCTCAAAACAGCATCAGCTGTTACAGGTTTTCCGCTTAAACGATGTTTCTTTTCATCCATTAATGGTTCTACCTTATTAATTTGAACATACTGATGACTAGAGTCTAAAATATCAGCAGTTGGCGGAGATAATTTGTTCATTTGCTCTGCATTTGGTAACTGATTGAGTGTTCTTGAAGAAAAATCACTGAGTCGTTCGTATTCTTTCCCACGATAAATGAAAACCTGTAATGATATGTACGTAACAATGACCAAGTTCTGCATATAACGAGATAAAAAAAATATATTTTATAAGTTCATACTTTATTTTGTAGGAAAGGAGGATGTCCACGACCATAATAGGCAACTCTAAAATATTCTGGCTCGGGTCTTAGTTGTTTTACTATACAATCATAAAATTTGGCCATTCGCCTCAATAAAATGGATAATTGTAAATAATCGAATGTCTCTTCCTCATATTGAGTAACTAATTCTTTGCAAACACTAAGAGCACATTCCCACATTTTTCCTTTGTCAAAGTATTCAATCATATCGTTATACAAAGCTTCTTTCAATTCTCTATGAGTTTGACATGATGGATATCTAAAATGAAAATAAAATTGTATATTATTATTTACAAAGTTTAATATAATAGATCGATAATAATTGAGCAAGAATAAATAGGTTTACCTATGGGATATTAAAAGTGGTGGTAAAGGTTGATCACTCCAATCTAGTAATAGACTATGAAGTTTTAATGTGTATGCTGCTTCCGTATAATTATCGCATTCTAAATGAAGTTCGCACAATTTGTTGACATATCTATAGTATACAAAGTTTGGTTTGGTATCAGTTAAAAAATGCAGTTAAAAAATGTAGTTACAGAAATTGCATTAGAAATGTACAATATATAAGATAAGAAATATATCATATTTGTTTGTATCTTCTATACAGACAAATGCTCTCGTATATATACCTGATATACATTTCCTTTCTGTTTATTTCGGAATAAAATTCTAATAAATTAACGGTACAGAGCATTCGATGTTCCTGAGATTCTGCATGAATAATATCACGATATTGTAATAATCTATCCATTAATTTTTCAATGGTATCCACAAATCGTAGACCTTGTTCTCGCATTGTCGAATGATCTTCGCAAAGAGAATACATTACTTGTATCCATAATTTGCGAAATTGCTCGTCTCCTCTTCCTCCCTCTACCTATTCAAAATAAAAAATGTTTACAATTTTGCTCAATAATAGTAATAATAATAATAGTAATAATAGACGATACTTATATTAATATATCTATATATATATATATATGTTACCGTCATAGCCGGAAATCTGCCATTGCTAGTAATTCCTCGGCATTATCATCAATGCAAAGAGCATTCCGATGAAGTCGGCAACAGAAAAATTCTTACAATTTTTCCTAAGCATTGACGCGGTAAATTGTGCATCTTTGCAATTTCTTTGAAAAGTTTTGGTAAATATTTTTTATACTAAAAGAGTGAATAGATTTTAATGACTCTTATATTAAATTAAAGTACACCCTTTGTAAAATACCTTATCGAGTTATAAATCGATTTGCAAAGGTTCAGGCTATATGTTCTAGACATTAGTTAGACAGACATTCATAGATTTCTACGGAAATCTGTATCTTTTGTTCCATATCGTATTGGAAGATAAACGGGTTTAGAAAGAAATGCGTATGGCTGTGTGTG